TCCTTGCAAAGCAGTAGCTGAGTGAGGGAGCTCCTTTTGCTTTAGGAAGAGACGAGGCTCAGACAAGGGGCCGACGGAGAGGGGGGCCCTAGCGAAGGTGAGGGGCATGACTCAGCGTGGGGGGTCAGACCGGCTGAGGGGGTCTGTGAAGTGACCGTGTAAGGCCCCAGCTGCCCCTGTTTCCAGGTGACCTTGGCCCTGGGCTCTAATTCTGTCTGCTCCTTGTGCCTCCACTTCCAGGGCGTTCTTCTTTATCTCCAGCTGTTAAGGCCTGTCCATAGTCCATCAACTGAATTAAAAGCCCACGCCTTGAGGCATGAAAATATTCCCACATTCTTGACTTCTTCTGGGGCCGGGGTTGCAGAGTGAGTAGGGGCTGGGAGGGATCCGAGGCAAGTCCCAGCTGGTCCATTCCCGCTTCTCTGCCTTCTGTCTCCCTATAGCGACCCTCCCTGATGGCAGAAAACATGTCACATGATAACCTCGCACGGTCAGAATTTCAAAACCAGTGTGGATCATCCACCAGCACCACCTGGTCTCACGCACGAGTAAACTGAAGCCCACAGAGATCGAGTCTGCGGAAGGGGCCACGGCGCTGGGCCCCACACAGCCACAAACTCCCCGTGTGACGTGGCACACGTGGCACACGTCTGGCCCAGGTTTCTCAGCTAAAGAGTCATTTTGATACGAATTAAAAACAACACATTAATGCTCTAAAATCGGGGCACGAGGTTGGAGGGGCTCAGGGGCTGTGCCATCTCCTCTGAGAGGCTTGGGCCTGCCGGTTTTGTGACAGTAGCAAGTCACATGGCTTCCCAAAGCTTCAGTTTCCCCATCTGCCAAGTGGGGATCATAGTCCCTCCTCAGAGGATTGCTCTGAAGTGTAAATAAAGCAGTACGTTAGCCCAATGCTGGGCATATAACGGGCTTTTGATAAATGATGATTATGATGATTAGGCTTAAGCTTCTTGATGATCGGGATGCCATCGTTACTATTTTATAATCTCCGCCATCTCGAGCAGTATCGGGCACGGGTAGGAGTTTAACATGTATGTGATACGCAAAACGAAAGGTAAATGAATGAATGAGCAAACAAGCCTCATCTTTTCCCGGAGTCTCAGGGTGAGTAAGCGATGTGACTGGGGCCCAGGCCCGGGAAAGGCAGAGTGTGGGCGGCACTCCTCCCAGCCCCACAGCCCCGCGGTCCCAGCTCTGCATGTATAGGATGGTGGTTGGGGCGGCTGTGAGCCAAGTTCTGCTGAAGCTGCTCTGGCACCCCAAGGCGTCCCTGTCGGGGTACAGAGATGGTGGTGCGAGAGTCTCCTTTTGGGGGCTGCCTCCAGCCCCAGGATCCCACCCACAGCTCAAGCTCCCAGACAGCTCTCAGCACGGGTCTCCTAGGAGAAAGAAGAGGGTAGGCTGGGAGAAAGGTAGGGTGGGCAGGGGTGAGCTTGTCCGGGCATGTGGTAAGACCCAAACTGCCCGACGAAGTGGAGGTGTGCATTCTGTGGCCTTTGAGGTGCCCAGACTAGGTTTCCAAGGGCCTGCGTGACAGCACCCCACCGCCCCTGCCTCTCTGCCTGGGGACCAGTGCCACAGGCTATCTCTCTAAACGGATGACCTGTTCTGTGAGAAGCTTCCAACCCTGAGCACCAGCTTCTCTACCCTCTGTCTCCGCCTCACTTCAGGCCTTGCCCTGGGGTTCCAATAAACTGGGAACAGCTTCGCCCTACGGAGCAATGCCTCTGGCTGAGACCAGGGGCCCTGGACTCTGTGCGCAGCACCCTGACCCTCAGAGGGGCTGAATTTCCCAGGGTAGCTGGCTACTGACTCAGGCTGCTTGGAGAGAGGACTCTCAGGTCCAGAGAAGTCCAGAGACAATGCAGTTGCCCTGTTGGTCTCTCACCACTCCAAGAAAGTTCTGCCAGCTGGCCGTCCCCCTCTCTTTGACCAAGTCAGAGCCATGTGCAGATATTTTTCTAGAAATCTCTGCCCAGGAGGTGGGGAAAGGAGGGGGAAGAATGAGGAGGAGGGGTGGCGGCAAAGGAAAGGGAGAACGAGAGGTAAGGAGGAAAGGAGGAAAAGAGAAAGGGGGCCTTCAGGGTCCTTGAATGATCCCAGACTTTGTGGAGGAGGTGGAGCTTTGGGAGCTGGGGGAAGTCTCCTCCTCTGACTATAAAAAGTCAGGGCCAGAGGCTCCTTAGATACCATCCAGGTCAACTACCTGATTTTCCTGAGAACCCGGAGGGGGCGGGAACCCAGTTCCAGAATGCACTCCAGCGCCTTTTGTATCCCTTCCTTTCTCATGTTGTTGGAGGTCCGAGTACCAAAAGGCTCCGGGGCTAGGGCAAAGGGGTGCAGGGGTGCTGTGCAGGGTGTGGCCTGGAGCCCTGCAAGGGGAGCCCAGAGTGCAGGTGAGGGCCAGGCCCCATCCTGGGAAGCCTCACACAATCCTTTAACCTGGGGCCAAAGCAGCTACAGCCTGAAACTCGTATCTGGTTACTGACATGCCGCAATGCCCAAGGCAGGGTCCAAGTTCAGACTAAGCTGATTTTGACAACAACACTGAGCCTGCTAAATGTTTACTAAACAAACCCTGTGCTCTTCTCAGTTTTTAAGATTCCCTATTCCATGCCATGCATTCCTTTATCTGGAAGCAGTAAACAGTAATACACACTCACAGTGGACCAACCTCTGAGGGTCAACAAAAATCTTTCCCATCCCTAACATGGGTTATTATCCCTGTGAGCTCTAGCAGGACCAGCTCCCAAGGGGGGGGAAGAAGAAAGGGGACTGAGGGCTCCCGGACACACATGGCCCCTGGCCGCCCTCTCAGCCTCCTCCCTGCCCCCTCTAGAACACTGCAGCCACATGGAAAGCCATGGGGAACAGTTGGGGCTTTTTATAATCTTTATTTGTTAACAGTTCAGGCTATTTTTTTCCATGCTTGCAAGAGATGCCAATGCCTCTTGAAAAAGTTGTGAAAAAAAAAACAAGTCTATTTTGGGGTGATCAGCCTCCTCAGAGCTTCTCACTTGCAGCTCTGCAGGGCTCCAGGAACGAGCCTGTCCTCTCTCAGAAGATCTGCAGCCTGCTTCAAGGGAAGGATCTTGGGCCTTGGGTGCACTGGCTAGGGAGTGCATTTTCACCCCCCACTTGTAACGTTTCTGTCTACAAAGTGCAGCAGAAGTAATACCATGTAGCTTCTTTCTGCTGGAGGCCTGCCTGGTGGTGGCTTCTTGTGCACCCTCCTGAGAAATAACAGCCCAAGACACTTGGGGTGGATCATGCATTTCCCCTGTGACATTAATGGTGGTGGTACTTGCAGCTCTTACAAGATATAAGCCAAAAAGCGTTCCAGTCTCTCCGCTGAGCAGAGAGCTGCCTCAGAGCTGCAGGATTTACTGCATGGAGGCCTCAGCCAGCTGTGGCTCCCCGGGAGGCAGGGCCAGGGTGGAGGGGCGTGGGTGGGTGGGCAGAGGGGTCTGCATGCTCAGATCTCAGCCAGCAGGTGCTGGCTGCAGCCTGGCCAGGCCAGACTGGGAACGGACTCTTCAGCTCCTGCTTTGAGCAGCCCCGCCAGCCCCACAGTGTGGTGTAGAACGGCTGCAAGGGGCCGGCTGGGCTTTGAAGATCATTTGTGTTCCTTTCACTGCCTCACCTGCTTGTTCGTTTTCTCACTGGGCACCAGGGCCGAGGCGGGCATGGGATTTTCCAACCCTGGTAGGTTAGACTGTCAGAACTCCACACCCTCTGTGCTGACTGCTCGCCGTAGGCCACCGAGGTAGCCCACGCACAGATGGGAGATGGGTCCCCCTTTACACAGGGGTACTGAGCATAAGTCCATCGGGGGAGAAGGCAGAAATGGAGGAAGAGTTAGAAGGATCACACAATCTCTGATCTCAGCCCTGGAAGGGGCCATGAGAAGATCATCTGGTCACCTCCTGTCTTCAGGCAAGTAATATTATTATCCCAGTGGAAGGCCAGAGAGATTAGGTTCCTTGCCCAAAGTCACACAGCCAATTCCTAGTGGAGGAGAAACTAGAACTGAGGTTGGCACCAGTTACTGCAATGGCCGCTCCTCTGTTTTGGTTTCGTTTCACTCGGGGCTCTTGGGGCTCCTATTGTCCACATCCCTGCCCACATTGGGCTTGGGGGGCGGGGCTTCTCTTGCCTTAGCTTTCTTCTGCCTCATTGTCCCCTGCCCCTGGAGGGTTGTCACAGAGATGCCCCTCCACACAGTACCAACTCCTTCCAGAGGTATCCCGCAGGCCTCTCCAAGCCCTTCCTTGATCGTTCCCTATCTTTCCTGGAATTCTAGAATTTTCTTTGGCTGAACTGGTCCCAAGATTGTGACTGACCATTTAAGGAAGCTAAAGATGGGGATCTCTGCCTCTTACTATGTTTCTAATCCCTCCCTGCTCTGCCCCCAAATATTTCCTTCTTCCATTCTCAGCCTTGGTGGCCATCAGCTGATATTCTGCTGAGTCCATTTTGGGTCGGGAGCTTCTTCAGTGAAAAGGATGGCCAATAAAATATAAGCCTTCCATGCTAGGAACCCATAACAGATATCCATGCTGGATGAACTGGACCTCACCCTTGTACATGAGAAAACAGGCCCAGAGAGGAGAGGGAAGAATCCACCATCACCCAGCTGGGTGGGTGGGTGGCCTCCTGATGGACAATGGACTGCTCTTTTCAAATTACCAAACCAAATTACTGCTCTTTTCAAATTACCAAGCTCAGAAGGTGCAAATGCCTGCAGCATGGGATGAACCATGAACCCAGTTCTTGACCCTGGAGGAGCCCCTTGATTCCCTGAGGTGGCCTCTGTCTTGGCCTCCAGGCTGAGTGTCTCAGCAGGAGCCACACTCTTGCCCTGAGTAGACCCTCTGTTTGGGCTGACCGAGCTGGTGGCATCTCTTTGGGTAACTCACGGTGTGTTTATTCCTTCTCTCACTGTCTTCCCCTGCCCTGCCCCATTCACTTCTGTCCAGCCCCCAGGAGCCTGGAGGGAACACAGAGCAATGGCGACCCAAAGACAAAGCCAGTACGGCCTGTGGAAGACCTCTCTGGACAGCATGTGAGTAGCCCCTGGGTGGTGTCAACTCCCTCCTCCTCAAGTGCCCCACCCAAACATTCATTCATCCGTCAAGCATTTATTGAGCTCCTACTGAGTACTAGTTGCCAGACCAGCAAGAAGGAAACTCTCAAATAAGCATGGCCCCCTCCCTAAACAGTGCTCAGTACTGTGAGGAAGAGAGTGACCCAATGATAGAGCAGGGTGATTGGTATTATTAGGGGAGCACGGAAGAAGGGCGGGGAACGTTGCTGACTTTGTAGGGGGTATTCATGGTGGGCTTCCTGGAAGAAGTGATGTCTAGGTTGAGACTTGAAGGATGAGTAAGCATTATCCAGGTGAAGCGGTGGGAAGAACAGTGTTCAGGCTGAGAGAACTATTTGATCAAAGGCCCAGAAGGGTCCTGCCTCTTATGAAGACCGGGTGGTGCTCCCTGAGTCCTTGACGAGGAGGCTGAAAGACTCCAGACTTTCCAGATTTGGCACCTTTGTGCCCTGACAGGGCTCTGCATGTTGAGATGCCTCTGCTTTTGCTCTCGGCTGGTACCAGGCACAGGGTGGCAACGCCGTGTGCCCCAGATTACACGCTGCTGGGGAGGGGGGCAAGGTTTCATGTCAGAAGGCCTGTGGGGTGCACTTGGCAGAGGCTCACGTGTTCCAGGGGAGGGTAGACAGAAGAGAGATTAGTAGCCTGCCAAGAGGAGAAAGGCTGGAACTGTGTGTGAAACAAATGGAACGTGCAGGTTGGAGGAGGACACACCGAGAGAGGTTTGCATAGCTTGGGCTGGCCCTGGGGAGGAGCCTTTGAGCCACAGGGAGAGGGGGGCCTGTGGTACTGGCTGCAAGCCTGCCGCGTAGGTGCCCTCTTGAGGACCAGGTTGGAGAGTTTTCTCCCCAGATGGGGCCTCCTGCTCACAGGCTTCAGGAAAATGGCAGCTCGTGATGTCCTTGAGGAGAGTGGTTATGGGCATCGTGGGAGGGGGTGCCTTTTCGGGACAGGCTCAAGGGGTTTACATCGCTGGGAAGGAGGAGTCACAGGAAGGCTTTGGTGAGGGAAGAGAGGTTGGAAGAACTCCAGCTGGGAATGCCTGAGAGGTGATTGATCAGGAAGATCTCTGGGTCGAGGAAAAGCTGAAAAAGAAGACTGTGTGCCAAAAGTGGGACTGGGAATTAAGGTGTTGTCCCCCAGCGGAGCACCTGGCTCTCTCTGCCTGAGACAGTTTACCCAATGTGAGCAGGAGGTGCAACTTCATTTGGCCAAACTTACACCTTCAAACCGCAACAGGGCAGCCTGGTTGGGCAGTGAGGTTCGCAGGCTGAGCTGGCTCTTTCCCCAAAGACTCCATAGAAGCAGACCTGGAAGCCCCATGATTTGGGGCAGAGGGCAGATCTGTTTTCCTGCTCTGTGCTGTACTGGGGCCATCCCTGCTGCTGGGATGTGTGAAAGGTGAAGAAACCAACAGGCTGGTGCTCTGGAGCTGGATGGGGGCAACTGGGTATCAGTGGGAGAGGCCGTGGCCTCCTGTGACGCCCATGCAGAGATATCATGCTATGGTTTTCTTTGGGGCAGTGACCGCTAACACATAGAAGATGGGCTGAGGCTCTTCAACACCAAACATGTGGGAAGAACACACCTGCCCATGGTTTAGTGTCTTTCCCACGCATGTATTCAAACGAATACTTTCTGTTCTTATGGAGACCGAATCCTAACCAGAAGGATGAAGCGGCACACTCAGTCATCCCTAATCTCTTCTCCAGCTCTGGGTAGGTTCAGAAGGAGATGGGGGAAGAAGCATCCTCTACCAATCAGGCACTTACTGAACATGGATCAGGCCAGAAAGCGCGTTTATCACAAATACCCTAATGGGCAACGTTCAACTGTATGCATTCATAGATGGAAAGCATACTTCAGAGAATACAAAATTCATTTTTATTTGGCTTTTTTTTGGCAATGGATTTCTCTTCCTAATCATATTTTTGCATAAACTAATATTAAACTGGATTTGCATTCTCAGAGCACAAGCTTGAGGGGGTTAGGTGGAAGGCATGTCAGTCTGGACTTAAAAAATTGTCTAGAGGTAATTGACAAGATGGATAAAACCAGACTGAGCTGGCCACTGTAATTACCAGTAGTCAAGACCATCAGAATCAAACCAGCCTTGAACATGGAAACTTCCTTTGAGGACTGCTCATGTTACAGATGTCATCCCTTATAACCTCTTTAGTAAATCGAGACGGAGAGCACAAAGGTGTCTTAGACACCGTCTCCAGGGCTAGTGTCTTCATGGCATTTCTTTTAAGAGGTCAGAAGATACTGGTAAACTCCAGGTGGCAATAGGATGGGCGTGGGACGGAAGCAGAGACTGCTGAAGAGGGAGGGAAGGGAGAAGGCCTAGATAGTACAGGTGATATAGTGACCCACTCTAAAACTCACGGGCCATGGCAGTCGGAAGCACAGGCTGTAGCTGAACGTCTGGTGATCGAAGAAGGAAGGCCCTCAGGTGCCAGGAAAACTCTCAAGCCAGAGGAGGGCCTGTGTGGAAAGGCTGTGTTCCTCTCCCTGAGGGCCAGGGGTGGAAGCCTGGTTTAAGGGGCAAGGAAAATATGTCAAGTTCCCCTCCCCGAACTCGCATCCCTTCCAGGGCTAAGCTGCGTCTCAGAGTTCTTTCGCAGCCTCGCGGAGGAAAGGGGAAAACCCTGTGGGAGTCCAGTGAGGTTTTGCGCCCTGACCGGTGGTGAGCCGACACCCTTCCAGCCTCTTCCCTCGGGGCGGGGGAAGGGAAGGGAGGCAGGGCGGGAGGGTGTGAGCGGCGCCGCGGGGCGGGGCAGGGCGGGGCCGCCGGTGGCCCAATCCCCTTCTTTCCCCGCCCCTCCCCCGCCCCCAGGCCCCTTTCCACCAACGGAGCTCCGCGGTGGGCGGAGCCTGTCACGGCAGCCGTCCTGGGTGCGATTCCCCCCCCCTCCGTTCTTCCTCCCTTTCTTTCTTTTTTTTTTTCCCCTTTCCTTTTTTTGTGAATGAAAAAAGGAGGTCGCGAGCGGTCCCCGGGACTGCAGCGCCAGGCGTCTTCGCGGCCGCGCCTTCGGAGCGGGTCGCGCGCGTAGCGGCGGCGGCCTCGCCCCTCTCCTCCTCAACTGCGCGTCGCCTCCAGCCTCCGCAGCCAGAGGACCCGCGGCGGCGGCGCGGCCCAGCCGCCCGAGGTCGGGCGGGCCGCGCGCAGCCCACTCCAGCGTGCCTCCATGACACTGGGCGCCCGGGGCGCGGGGAGATGCTGATCCGGAAGAGGCAATGGCTGCAGTGCCGCGCGTGCGGCCGCTCCCGGCCCGCTGTCCTGCCTGGGCTGCTCTGTCAGAGTTTCTGATCTAGCGCGACCCGGGCCCGGAGCCTGTAGCAGCAGCGGCGGCGGCGGCGGCAGCAGCGCGGCGGCGCCGGCATCGTCCTAACTTGCACGCGCGGAGTGACCCCAGACATTTCACTAAAATGAGCGTGCTTAGCAGGAAGAGATGTGTTCCTTACACTAGAAATTACCCCGTCACATGTAGTGGTGTAAGTAAATGATTAATTTCTATTACGGCCGGGTTGCAAGCTGCCTGGAAACGCGCCGCTGCGCCCTCCTGTGCCCTCCCCGGCCCTATCTGCGCCCCTTCTGAAGACTATCCCCCCCCCCCGGCACCCCCTCTCCCCTTGGCTATAGCTTTGGCTGCTGGGGTCTCAGGGGGCGGGGGACTAACCTTTTCCGGGTTTTTCTAGAGAAAGGAAGATGACTTGATTGCCTTGGCGTGTCGTGGCCTTCCTCTTTCCCCATTTTTAAAAAATTTTTATTTCGTGTGTGTGTGTGCAGAGCAGCGTGTGAGGAATAAAGGTCCAGAGTGGTGGAAATGTTTCTGTTAAAAACCAGTGGAATTTGGATGTTTTGCTCGCCGTTCCGGAGACATTTCTTTCAACCCAACTCCATTGCAGTCTGTGCATCAGAGTTCTGGCAAACTATGGGAGAGATGCTTAACGTTGTTTGTTGATGTTTGAGAAGGTTTTTTTGAGTGTGTTTAGGTTTGCATTTTTTGTTATTTTTGTTATATCATTGTATATATTTTGTTAATATCATTCAAGATCCCTTTGAGCCTTGCTGTCCACTGGATCTGCAGGAGGGATTCATCTCCCCACCTTCCCCAATATTACAGTGTCAGCAACCCTGGTGAAAAGCCACCCTCTCTGGTCTTCTCTTCCCGATTCTCCCTTCCTCTCCATCCTCCTTGATTTTTACCTTCATTTTGAGGATATTCCTCCCTTTTGCATTTTGTAAGATGCAGGATGTGGGATATTGGTTGCTAGGAGACAGACCAGGCTCCCAGGGAGATTCTGTCGTTTCCTTGACAACCAGACTAGGGCAGCCACAGATGAACAAGCCTCCTATCAGCTGTGGGAGGGAAAGGGGGGCTTTTCTGGGCTCTGCAAAGAGTGTGTGTAGGGGTGTGGGGGTGGGACTGGGACCCGGTGAGGGTTGTAGCTAATCCGAGCACACCTGGCTTTTTGGCCTGGCTTGAGTACACAGAGCTGGGAGAGCAGTGGGCAGGAGGCTGATTGTGGAGAGGGGGACAGGGATCATGGGACAGGGTAGGGAAGGAGCACCTCTGTGACTCTGGGATCACTGAGGGAGAGGAATGAATTGGAGGTTGTGACACCCAGGGCAGGATGGCAAGGAAGCCATAGTCTGTGGAGGTTTGTCTAGGGGCTCAGAGGGACTGAAGATGAGGCAATTGTGCGGAAAAGTCTAGAGTCATTGAAGGAGAGAGTGCCAGAAGGGAAGGGGAAGTTGAGAAGCTCCTTGAGTGGGTTGTATCATCATACATCAGCAATGATACAGTAAAGTAGCAATATTCTAAAGCAGAAATTCTATTACTGCGGGCTTTGGCACGCTATCTCCAGTACAGGATCCTCGTTTAAGACAGGCCTGATTTGACTAAAGAGTTTTGTCTGTTGGCTTAATTGGGCCAGTCTGTATCTTAAAGAGAGATAGAATTACATATATAGATATGTAATCTAGCATTATATAATACCAGATTACATAAGAAGACAAATACCTCCTTTCCACTTGGGCTCTCTTGGCACGAATTCACCAAGATTCGGGAAACTTTCTTCCAAAGCCCGCATACCCATTTTCCAGAAGGGCAGACTGATGCCCAGAGCAGCGAAGTGATTTGCCCTTTCCTAGATATGAAGTTCCCTAGATCTGAAGTCAGGCGGTTGGGACAGGGGTGAAGTGGGTGAGAATGATAAAAATAGGGGAGGAGTCCAAGGGTAAACAGGGGAAGGCTGCGGAGCGCTGGAGAGTGAATGGGAAGGGGCTGCCTAGCCAGGGAAGCACCCAGCAGGTCTGCTGTCTATACTCACGGAAGTGTTTGTTGCCTTCCTACTTGTTGGTTGGCTCACCCCTACTTAACCAGAGAGGTACATGAGGTGTGCAGGGGTATTTTAACCATAAACTCTCTGATTTTGAATCAGCATTGCTCTACCGGTGTTCTGGCCTCCTCCTCATGGTCCAGATGCTCCTGGATTTACGAACTGATGCCCCTCCTCCGTGCCTCCTCATCCCCCTTCTGCTTCCACACCCACAGGCCATTCGAATCTAAATTTGAAGAAAGAAGTTCTACTGGCGAGTGGGTTATAGTCTTTCTCCTCCAGCTATACATGTTCCTACTAGGGAGTCTGTTTTGTTCTTCAGTGCATAGAACTACAACCCAGGCGATTCCTTCCCAGTTGCCTGACTTGAGACCAGGACCCATCCAAGCGGGGTTCCCGGTCCTCAGCTCAGGAGAGAGCAGGGAGGAGGCAAGATGGTGCTTAGGACAATGGCTGGCCCACTGGGGAGGGTGAGGAGGGGTGGAGGAGGCAGGAGGAATCCTGCAGACGATTGCTCTGGAGACCAGGGAGGGGCTGCGTGGAGACCCCTTGTTTCGAGTTCAGATCCTGTAAAATTCCAAGAAGGAGGAGGTGCTTGTCTCATTGAAAAGTCCTTGCTGCACTTTTTGCTTAGGTTGCTGAGATGTATCTACTCGCGCAAATCCCAGTTGCCATCGTTACTTGGATATTTCAGTTCTGCATTCCTGCATGCTGGCATCCAGTTACAGCCCAGCAGGAATGGAGCTGCTCGGTTGCTGCTGGTGGCCCGGCTCTCTGGCTGGATGGCTCAGCAGTGAGGGCGCCTGGACTGCCTCCAGGACACTTAGGAGCTCAGCCTTCCTTGGCCTAGGAAGGAGTCCTCAGGCTGCTCCAGCCCCCGGCTGACTTGGTGCACACAGGGAATGTGAGCAGGAGCAGGCCAGTGACCTAGGTGAAACCAAGTTCCCTGACAATGTCTGCCTTGCACCTACCCCTGCCTCCTCCCCTCAACCCTTTCGGGAGAGTAGATGCCACTGGGAGACTGCCACCGAAAGCCCCCTCACCCTCAAGCTGAGGGTCCCTTCCTGGTGACAGCTTTTTAAACACTGACATGACATTTCGACTACAGGAGGGCCTTCTTTTTGTTCATTTGAGGCCATCCCCCTCTGTGGGTGGACAAGGCACTGCCTCTCTGCTCAGCACAGAAGGAAACTGAGGCAAGCATTAGCCCAGAAATTCAGGCCCAAGTTTCTGACCCTCTGCTTCCCCCAGCAACCCCATTACCCATGCAGCCAATTGAGCAAGCAGCCTACCAGGAGTGTGCCAGGGGTCTGGGGGCTTCCAGCCTGAGAATCCTCCTCCCTAGGAAAGGAAGGCACAGAAGGGGGCATATCTCACTCTCCCCGAGGCTGCATGTAGGATGCTTGGAGGGCATGTGTGAGTAGGGGCAGGAAGGCCCACTGGCCGTGCATGGAGTGAATAGTCACAGACCCATGTTTATCTCCACTGCTGCTGAGTGAGCCCTGTAGGCAACATGACAGGCTCCGAGGAGGGGAGGGGAGGCCCATGGGCTGCTCGGGTGCCTCCAGAGGCATTGGGAGGAAGAATTCTAGCATCTCCCTGAAGGAGGCTGGGGGTTAGCCTTGAAGGGTAGCCATAGGCAAGCCAGGGCTTGAAAATCCACCACCAGGGAGAGAGGGAGGGAGGCAAAGGTGGAGGACAGGAGAGCTGCCACCCAGCTCTGACAAGTCCATTAAATTTTAAAGTGGTCCTGCCCTCTGGCCTGCTGGGAAGGGGTGGGGACCTGGCCCGTACTCTGCTTCTCTCAGCTCTTTGCTTTTGTGCTGTCCAGGGGAGGAGAGCGTGGATGGTGAGTGAGCTTCCCAGGAGGACTCTCCTCTTCCTGAGGGAGCGGGGACAGGCCCGGGGCAGGTTCTGCTGTGGGATCTCTCACAGGCCTCCCCCAGCCAGAAGCCCAGTGGGAGGATGATGGCAACAGGAGGCAGACGGGTGTTTCACGTGGTGCCACTGCGCCTCTGAGCCTGAACGGGCCCCCAGCTTCTCAGGCCCCGCAGAACGATTACCCAGAAAGCTACCCACTCCTTTCGCCCCCTCTCCATTCAAATGCTGGCAGAGGGGCCAGCCCCGGCTGAGGAGAGCGGCTGGCCCCGGCCGTCAGGGAGCTGGGGTGCAGAGTCATCTTGACCACTACACTCCTCTCCCTCAGGTCCCAATTAATGGATTCTGACATGGATTATGAAAGGCCAAACGTAGAGACCATCAAGTGCGTTGTGGTGGGAGACAACGCGGTGGGCAAGACCAGGCTCATCTGTGCCCGGGCCTGCAATGCCACCCTCACCCAGTACCAGCTGCTCGCCACCCATGTGCCCACGGTTTGGGCCATCGACCAGTATCGGGTGTGCCAGGAGGTAAGGCTGCAAGGCCGCTCGGCTGGGGGTCCGCCCCATGTACTTGGGCTTCTTCCCAAGCTGTAGCTCAGTGTCTCCAAATGTGGCCCTGCGTGTGCTGAGCTCACGGAGGCCCCTGGGGATGGGGCGGGAGCAGCTGAAGAGGAGGGAGCCCCAGGAGAGAGGGCTGAGGGGAGTCCACCCCAGGGGAGGGATCCCTCACCATTTGTGTTTTGCATGGCTGAGCTGGTGCCTGAGACCGAAGCTGTGCCTGGGGCATAGCATCTTTGTGCAATCACAGCCCCCAGTAATGGGGAGCACTGCGGGGAAGGGAGGGTGTTGGAAAGATGAGGAAGAAAGAAGCTGTCGGCTAAAACCAAAATCAGAGGCTTGTAATGTGCAGGTGAAGCTGGGAACAGGGCAGGCTCCCTGAGATCCCTTGCACCCCAGGACAGTCTGCCCTCTTAGAGGGTCTTCCCTTCCGGCCGGCTTAGAGCCCACTCTTGCCGTTGGCGTCTGCAGAGACGGCACCCGGAGAAAGTGCTGGGCACGGCACACAGAGGAAGCTGCCAGAACCCTAGCTAGCTCTGTCCCTTCACCCCCATGCCGTCTGGGAGCCTCAGAGGTGAGCCAGCGCCACCCTGAGCTGACGTGCAGAGGCCCCTAGAACTGTTGCCCTTGATTCCCACTCCTCTCCTCCCCACCCCCCACGCCCCACAGGTGCTGGAACGCTCCAGAGATGTGGTAGATGATGTCAGCGTCTCCCTCCGCCTCTGGGACACCTTTGGAGACCACCACAAAGATCGTCGCTTTGCTTATGGGAGGTAGGTAAGGCCTCCGGTTGCCTGCGGGGAGCCAGGTGGGTAGGTTTTCCCTGCTTTCCCAAGGAACAGCAATGCTGTGAAATTTCAGCTGGGAGGAGGGAGCAGAGAAAACAGCATGGCAGACCCTCACAGGGGAGGCAGCCCGGGGCAGTGGAAGGAGCTGGGTTTGGAGTCAGGAGGCCAGGTTGGACTCTCAGCCCTGCTACCTCTCAGCTCTGGGACTGTGCACAATTAGGGGAACTGTTCTGAATTGATTTTCCTCTGCCATGGATTGTAAAATGGTAATTTCTAACCCATAAGATAGCCGTGAGGTCAAAATGAGGGTTTTCGGAAGCTCTAAAATGCTAAATTCGGGGCATATAAATTCAAGGTCCTATTATTATACATTCTGTGTAAGGTCATGTGAGCAGATGCCTATGACAGACATGGAATGTAGTGTTGTAGGGTGGGGTGGGTATGCATGTTCTCCCTTGTTCCAGGGGCGGGTAACCTACCACTAGCTTTCCCTGCCCATAACCTCGCTCTCCCACCCCCAGATCCGATGTGGTGGTTCTGTGCTTCTCCATTGCCAACCCTAATTCCCTCCACCATGTCAAGACCATGTGGTACCCAGAAATCAAGCACTTCTGCCCCCGAGCACCTGTCATCTTGGTGGGCTGCCAGCTGGACCTGCGCTATGCTGACCTGGAGGCTGTCAATAGGGCCAGGCGACCCTTGGCTAGGTAAGGGGTGCTGGTGCTAGGGAGGGGGAAGGAGGAAGACAGAGGGAGGGGGTGCATCTCCGTGGCTCCCTGTTCAGCCCTGAGGGAATCCACTGGGCCTCACACCTCACCCTCCATTTGAAGCAAGCCATGTGGGAGGCCAAAGAGAGTGCCCATTCATTCATTCGTTCATTTGTTCATCCATGCATCCATCCATCCATGCATGCATGCATCCATGCATCTCTTATACCCTGTGTGAGCAATCCTGGGCTAAGCACCATGGGAGGGAAAGAGAAAACGAGGTAGTCTTTGCACAAATGGGGCTTATGATCACGCTGGGAGATGAACTCCATATATGGCCGTGTTAAAAACCAGCGTGGAACGTGGCATGCTAATTGCCAGAGAGGTGGTTAGTGCTGCCACTGCTTTGAGCTGGGGAGGGCGCGGGGCTGGCATAAATACGGAAGGCTTCCTGCAAGAAGAGGGGATTAGAAGTGGGCCTTGAAGGACTGGTAAGATTTGACTAGGCAGAGGAGAAAGGGCAGGAGTCGGACTGAAACAGACCCTGAGCAGTCCCCTACAGACCAGGCAGGCTCTGGAGAGCTGCCTCTCCCTGCCCCTCCCCTCTCCTCCTCTCCTGCCAACATGTTTGGTCTTCCTTCTTGAACCTACTAGGCCCATCAAGCCCAATGAGATCCTTCCCCCAGAGAAGGGCCGGGAGGTGGCCAAGGAGCTGGGCATCCCCTACTACGAGACCAGCGTGGTGGCCCAGTTTGGCATCAAGGACGTCTTTGACAACGCCATCCGCGCAGCGCTCATCTCCCGCCGCCACCTGCAGTTCTGGAAATCCCACCTCCGCAATGTGCAGCGGCCTCTGCTGCAGGCGCCCTTCTTGCCTCCCAAGCCGCCTCCCCCCATCATCGTGGTGCCCGACCCCCCCTCCAGCAGCGAGGAGTGCCCCGCCCACCTCCTGGAGGACCCGCTATGCGCGGATGTCATACTGGTGCTGCAGGAGCGGGTGCGCATCTTTGCCCACAAGATCTACCTCTCCACCTCCTCCTCCAAGTTCTACGACCTGTTCCTCATGGACCTGAGCGAGGGGGAGCTGGGGGGCCCCTCGGGGCCCGGGGGCCCCCGCCCAGAGGACCACCGGGGTCACCCTGATCACCACCACCACCATCACCACCACCACCACCATGGCCGGGACTTCCTGCTGCGGGCGGCCAGCTTTGACGTGTGTGAGAGCATGGAGGAGGGCGGGGGCTCTGGCCCTGCTGGGCTCCGTGCCTCCACTAGCGACGGGATCTTACGGGGCAATGGAACAGGGTATTTGCCCGGGAGGGGTCGAGTCCTGTCTTCCTGGAGCAGAGCTTTTGTGAGCATTCAGGAAGAAATGGCAGAAGATCCTCTGACCTACAAATCCCGGCTGATGGTGGTGGTAAAAATGGACAACTCCATCCAGCCAGGGCCCTTCCGGGCTGTTCTCAAGTACCTGTACACCGGGGAGCTGGACGAGAACGAGCGTGACCTCATGCACATCGCCCACATTGCCGAACTGCTTGAGGTCTTTGATCTGCGCATGATGGTGGCCAACATTCTCAACAATGAGGCGTTCATGAACCAAGAGATCACTAAGGCCTTCCATGTCCGCCGGACTAACCGGGTTAAGGAGTGCTTGGCAAAAGGCACCTTCTCAGGTATGGACTGTGCTTAGGAATTGACTGCCGGAGGGCAGGGGACTTCCCTCCAGTTAGCCTTCTGAAGAGTCTGTGTTGGTCCAATTAGCATTCTGAGTCATCTCAGCTGCCGATGTCCTGGAGATAGGGTGGCTCTGCTCCTGAAGCCTGGTACCCAAGCCCAAGAGCTTGGTCAGGTAGCACTCTACATGAATGGCTTCAGGAGGAAGTGGGTTGTGTGGGCACAGTGTCGATCTTTGGGATGGGTTCTCCCACATCCTTTCACCACATCCTCACGTGATGCCTCTTCTCCTCCCGGACAGATGTGACCTTCATCCTGGATGATGGCACCATCAGCGCCCATAAGCCCCTGTTGATTTCCAGCTGTGACTGGATGGCCGCCATGTTTGGGGGGCCATTTGTGGAGAGTTCCACCAGGGAGGTAAGGCTAGGAGGGGAATAGGTGGGAAGGAGAGAGAGACCCACACCCTTCCCACCTGAGGCATCTGCCATTTACTGGTACTTCCTTCAGTCAGTACTACCTTCTGTTACTGACTGTGTGCTTGCTCACCACTGAGTGACAGACTCAGGATAAGTTTAAGAGGTGGCTCCCATAGCCAAGGATCTTATGAAATTTCAAGACAGGGGATTATGGTGACATCTTCACTTTATGGTATAGAAAGCCCTTTTGATCATTATCTCGTGTCTCGCCTCACACACAGCTCCTGCACATGGCGTCGTGTTCTCACTTTACAAGGAAAGTGAGTCCCCAGGAAGTTAAGTGCCTGGTACAAAGGTAAATAAGTAGAAAGGAGAGGTTCGGACTTGAACTCAAGACTTCCGATTCCTTGGCTCTATACATTGTACCTTGCTTTCTCCCTAACGCACGTGAGCCAAGGGGAAAAAATTCAGTGTGTGCTAACGCGACTCTATCACTGTTTTAAATGTAAGTCTTACTATTAGGTACGGTGAAGCCCACAGACCAGAAAATTGCCATTGGACAGAGAGACGTTTATACTCCCAGGTGTCAGTAGGAGGGGGCATGCATCGTATAGGGGACCACACAGGGAAGCACCAGGGTCAGTCTTTAGGCAAAGGGAGTGAAGGGGACGCGAACAAGAGCCTTCACTGTAGTTTCTAAAGGAACGGGTGAGGCAAGTGGAGCAGGCTTAGGATTGGCTAGTCTGAATAATTTCAGCAGGCTTTGGGGCTGTCCCAAGTCATCTGGCACCTGGGCTTGGGGTGACTAGGGCAGGGGATAGTGGTTGAGGGAATGAGCCTGATAAAGGAGGTGGCTGGGGTGTGGACACAGGACTGATTGGTTTGCACGGGAAAGGCAGGCTGAGTACGTCCTTTACTGCCGCTAGCATTGGCTAGCCGTGGGAGGGGCAGCCCCGCTGGGTCAGCAAGGCCCCAGATGTCAAAGCAGCAGAGCTCAGACCAGAAAAAGAAATGCTTCATACAGTCACCTTTCCCTCTAATCAGCACTGCTCCGACTTGGCTGTTCCGTCACTGTTACGGCCACTTTCTCAGGCACCGAAGACTGGAAACACAGAGTTGGACGGGACCTATCAGTGCATCCTTAGAAATAGTCTCTTCAGCCTGTTCTCTCCTTTCCCTTCGAGCAGCCGAGCAGAGTAGCTCAGGCTGGGGCCCTCAGGATTCTCTCTTTTCCGTGAACTCCCGTACCGTTAGTTGGCCACAGTCAGCCTCGCAGTTAACAAGGTACAAGTTTGTGCAACTGCTTGAGGTTCTGGGGGTCCACACGCCATTTTCTTGCCTGATCTGGGATTTCTTCCCTCCCCCCTCTCCCCAGCCCCGCTCTGCACGTCCTTTAGTAAGAGCTCACCCAACACTTGAGGGAAAAGACGGGACTGGGAACAACACAGGATAGCTTCCTGTGACGTAGAATGACAGTTTCTTAAGATTTCCGGGAAGGGAGTGCTTCCAGAAGGCTAAGTGGAGGGCTTGAACTGTGAGCTGGTCTCTGATCCTTGAAGCATGAGTGGGATTGGCTTCTATGAGTGGAGCCCCAGGGGCTGGCCCGCCCCAGGCACTTCTCGGTGCCGCGTTAGAGCTCCAGATGACTCCCATGCAGCTTGGAGAGACTCGTGTCTGATGAGAAAGCAGTTTTTGTTGCAGCGCTGCTCGGAAGAGATCCCAGGGGCCCAAAGCAGCAGCTTCAGGCAGCCAGCAGGAAGCCAGCTGGTGTTGGCTTGGCTCCTTCGTACCCCACTTGCACTGCCCTCTGTAAGGCCAGGAAGGGCCAGGGTGTGTGGGTTCAGGTGGCAGGAAGGACTCCTTCAAACATCTTCCAAGCCAGCACAGCTTTGGAAGCGTGCCAGTGAGAATCCAGGTCCTTTTCTTTATTTGTTAATTAAATACTTATTTATTTATTTGAGAGAGAGAGAGAGAGGGAGTGCACATTCGTGAACGTGGGGAGGAGCAGAGGGAGAGGGAGAGAGAGAGTCTCCGGCAGACTCTCCACTGAGCAAGCGTGGGGCTCGATCTCACCACCCTGAGATCATGACCTCAGCCAAACTCGAGAGTCTGAGTCGCAACCGACTGAGCCACCCAGGCGCCCTGAACCCAGGTCCTTTTAAAATGTCAGAGCGCTGCTCACTGGTGTGGTCAGCATGCAGGCTCAGTGCAGGGTTTTGCTCTGGGAGACAGGCCTTGGTGGGCCTTCGGAGCGGGTACAGGGGCAGCTCAGGAATGGCTGCCCATCCGGTGGAGCCAGCAAGAGGGCCAGGGCCTTTTGAGTGTCCCCGGCCTGAGCTCCTCCTTCCATAAGGCTGGGCCTCCCTGAGGCCTTCTGTCTCCCTTCCCCCGCAGGTGGCGTTCCCTTACACTAGCAAGAGCTGCATGAGGGCAGTGCTGGAGTACCTCTACACGGGCATGTTCACCTCCAGTCCCGACCTGGACGACATGAAGCTCATCATCCTGGCCAACCGCCTCTGCCTGCCGCACTTGGTTGCCCTCACAGGTACGCGGGGACCTCTCTGGGGGAGAAGCCAGGGAAACCACCCCCCCCAGGTGCTGATTTCTCCTCTCACCTGCCTCCCCCCAGGGGACAGGCTGCGAGCACCAAGGAAATGTGTTGACATAAAGTGAAATATGTCGATGCGCACTGGGGCTTGGGTGAGGCCATAGATGTAAAGAAGCACGTGTGAGAGGCAGGATGGTGTCATGTGACAGGCTCTCTGCAAAGGGTTATGGGCCCCACGAAGCGGTATCCGGTAGATGACAGCGCTGGTGTTCCATCAGCTTCGCTTCGGCGGGGCACGCTTAAGTCAAGAGGAATAGAACGCCATTCCTCATTGCCCCCCTTTGGTTCCTCACCACCTCCTCTGTCTTCTTTCTTCTCATCCTTCTTCTGTTCCTCCTCCATCTTCACTTTCTGTCTCTTCCAGAAGCAGACAATAAACATTGACCTCCCATCCCTAGATCCTTGAAAAGACCATGAGAGCTGGAGCTCAGCTTTGAGAATGGGCCTGGGGTGGAGCAGGGCCTGAGGCCACGGGGAAACTGCCCAGCAGGCAGTGGGGGGCGGTGGAGGGGCCGAGGGGCTGGAGAAGAGGAATGGTGCTATCCAGCTGAAGGGAGTGCTGCCACACGTTGGGATTGGTGTCTGCACTGTGTTGGTGTTGGTGTTGGCGCCTCTGCTGCTGTTGATATCGGGGTCCGTGTTCTTGGGTAGGTCAGGGGGCAGAGGGCAGAGCCTTAGATACAACTTGAGTTGAGATTCAGGGAAGGATCTAGCACCAGAGCTGCTGGGGCACTGGACCGATGGTCAAGACTGGGACTCACTTAGGAGGAAAACAGCAATACCGTGATGAGAAATTAGTTATAACATGGGGCTTGGTCATAGGAAGAAGGAAGAAATCATTGATGAGAATTTGACTGTTAAGAGCTGAGCCTACAGAGAGTCCTAGTTGGAGACACAAAGGGCTTTAGGGTGGGGAGCAAGAGAGGCTTCTAAAGATCACAGCTGCGACAGTACGTCCACCGTAGCTGCCCGTGGAAAGTGGTGTGGTCTTCACAGAGCACAGACGACTTCCAAACTCTTGGACCTAGTAATTCACCTTTTGAAAGACTATCTCCAAAGATATGACCCAAAGCAAAATATGTATAAAGATGTTCCTGTAAGTTTGCTTCATCATGGCGGGCGATCAGAAACAAGTCAGCTGTTGCCAGTGTTACACTGTGCCGCTGTGTGGAGAGGCTTGTAGAAAATACCCATTGAATGACTTTTCTGGGAGACGGTCCATACAAATGACAAAGTATACAGATGTGTGTCATGCACATGCTTGTCAAGAAGCAGTGGGAAATGCCGAGCATGGTATATTCGGTGATGCTCTAGGTTTTGGGAGATACGCTTTCTATGAAGTTATTAATTCAAGCTTAAAACTTTTTCATTGTTCAATAGAGCACAAATGCATGAAACATATGTTCGGCTTCATGAATTATTATAGAGTCAAAGGACCCGTGTCAGGAGCTAGCTCCTTGCCGGCCATAGCAGAAGCCCTCGGCCTGTCCCCGCCAGTCACAGGTCCATCCCCGTCCTCAGGAGTAACACTTTGCCTATTACTCCTTTGTAGGGTATTTTTTTATTGGCCTCACTTCTTTCTCTTCATAGTTTTATCTTCCATGTGTGCATCCTTAAACACCAAAGCATGGTCTTATTTTTTAAATGCCTCTTAAATTTCTCCTAATCTAAAGGTTCCTTGTCCATTAAATTTTTTTTTTCCCTTGCAGTTTATCTGTTGGAAGAAACCCACCGATGTTCCAGAAAATCTAGATTTTTCACTGACTGGCCATTGGGTCTGGGGGCTAGATCGGATCCATATTCATTTTTCTTTTGCTAAAACAACTTTATAGGTTATTCCTGTTTTGTTTTAAGATCTTATTTTTAAGTAATCTCTACACCCAGTGTGGGGCTTGAGCTCACAACCCCGAGATCAAGGGTCACATACTCCACCAACTGAGCCAGCCAGGCGCCCCATTTCTGTTTTTCATCAAGAAGCTTTGTCTCTTTTTGTGATCTTTTTTGTGATGTTAGCAGCCACTGAGTATCATTGCCTGAATCCATTGATTCATGAGGTGTTGTGAAATGATAATATTCCAATTCAGTCATTCCTTCTTTGTCTGTTGGAATATGTTGAAAAAGAGAGCAGCTTCCCCTCACCTACTCTTTGCTTACCCAGTGGTGTGGTTCACATAGGAAGGGCAGATGAATGCTTGGTTGTATCCTTTTATTTACCGGTCTTCGAGATAAATTTGTTTCCCATCACCCTTTGCGGGTGTCTGATCAGTTCTTATTTTTAAGTGTTATTACAAACATACTCGATTGGTTTCAAATAATTACAGTTATCTTTATTGAAGCTGGAATACCACACTGCACCTTTTGCCAGCAGGCGTCTTTTCAGGTTGGCACCAGAATGAGCTTTCTGGTTGTGTGGAACGACAAGATGTTCCAGGTTCATTCTGTACATCTCCTGCTGCAGACCTCGAATCAGCCATCTCTCTAAGAAGTCTGTTTCTTATAGTTGGACATGGTATTTCAAGACTATAATCTGAGCATTAGGGATGCACATTACTATACCGCATTGTTGTCTCTCGTTTCTAGGTCTTTTCTTAGATCTGGGAAATAGATTTTAAAGTTTGTTTATTTATTTGAGAAGGGGAGAGAGAGAGAGAGAGAGAGAGAGAGAGAGAGAGAGCATGAACAGGGGTAGGGGAGGAGCAGAGGGAGAGAAAATCTTAAGCAGGCTCCATGTCCAGTGTGGAGCCTGACACGGAGCTTGATCTCACAACCCTGAGATCACGACCTGAGCCAAAATCACAAGTCGGGTGCTTAACCAACCGAGTCACCCCGGCGCCCCCATGAAGATAAAATACCTCATGAGTTTATACTGATACAGTTAAACTTCAGGATTAAGAGTGTTTACTTCTTTAATATAAATGTTTTAACATAAAATATAAGGTCTGTTCACAATTTGTTATAAAATTTCAGTGAACACAAACAACTAGATTCAATCCATAGTTGTAATTCGTAGTTCTCAGCACAGCTGGGAGTTACCACCCTCTCTCATCCGTGTCAACGGCTGGTTCTGCTGGGGGCTTTCACCCTACATATACCAGACCACTGGGGGCAACAAATGTAGTTGGAACAGTTCTCCTGCTTGATTCTAACTAACATCCACTTTTACTGCCCCAGCCCCGCTCCAATGGGAAAGTCTTGCTGTAATCCCAATTTCCTCACCGGTGGAGCAGACTTCAATCACCTGTGGTCTTTCCTGGCCTGCTGGGACTTGCCAGTGGGCCCTCCTGTCTGTCTGCCCTGCAGTGGGTCCCTGCCGGGGGTAGAAGTGAGTGCATGTCCATTCATGTGGTTCTTCAGCTGATTCCTGACTGTGTGTGTCACAGAGCAGTACACAGTGACCGGGCTGATGGAAGCAACTCAGATGATGGTGGACATTGATGGGGACGTCCTCCTGTTCCTAGAACTGGCTCAGGTATGATGGCAGGGGAAGGACTCTCTCCACCGTTCTTGACTCTGGGCTCTGTCTGCCCATTGGCAGGGACTGAAGAAGGCTGGCAGGCGGTGGGTAGGAAGGGAGCCCGCTGTTAGACTCGGTTCCTGGATTGGGCAGGGCCTGCCTCATCGTCCATGCCAGAGGATTCACTCTGACATGCCGAGAGGAATGGTACTGGCGGGAAGGGACTGAGGCTTTGTACGACCATAGGGCAGGGGACAGAAGCCCAGTCTCGTACATACACGTGGTTGCAGCATGCCTGAGGTCACTGAGGACTCTTCATCTAAAATGGGCTGCCCACCTCCTTATTCCCAAGCAAACAAGCAAAGTCTCGCACACGGCCCTCCGAGTGCATCAATTCTGCCACTAGAAGCCAGCTCATGAGGTGGACGTTGCAGCTTTGAGGCATGTGGACACAGTTGGGGAAGTCGGCCCTCTAAGCCTGGTTGTGTACCCCTCCGTGCAGGCTGCTCTGGCCCCCGGTGGGCGGAGGAGGACATCTCCAGGGGGGATCTAAGGAGGACGGACATGGTAGGAAGGCACCACACGCATCTATGGATTCTGTGGGTGCTGGGGGCAGGACAGAGGTGACCTGATGTGACGGTGGCGGTGGTGGCGCCAAGGAGCAAATTAAGTGTTTCCTCACACTTCTGTGTGGGTTTGCCTCTCAAGAGGGGCTCGTTACAACTGCAGGGCTTTGCCCATCTGCACCAAAGCTTGGGCTCTGAGGACAGCTACGGGTGTCTGTGTGGACCCTCCCTGGGGCTCCAGCGTAGGTGCTCCTTTTTGTCCCCAGTTCCACTGCGCGTACCAGTTGGCCGACTGGTGTCTTCACCACATCTGCACCAACTACAACAATGTGTGCCGCAAGTTCCCCCGAGACATGAAGGCCATGTCCCCAGGTAAGCGTCTCCTGCAGGACCTGTGTGTGCTCCTCCCGCATGCCGACGGGGCCAGATCTCCGACTAGACCCCAGGGCGTCCAGAAGCTGCCAGAGACCCTTGGGTTGGACTTGAGCTGGGGGGGGGGGGCGGCGGGCAGCTGGCAAAGGTGTATCCAGCCAAACAGAGGGGAGCCCAGGAAAAGATCAGGGCAGCTGGGGACCTCAGGCAATTCACTTTACCTCTCTGGGCTCCTATTTCTCACAAGTACAAAGAAGGCGTTGGACTTTTGGTATTTTTCAGACCTGGTATTTTTTGGGGGGGAGGTGTATTTTGGTATTTCGGACTTGGTATTTTTGAGACAGGGCTCCACAATAAGAACTATATTTTGTTGTGAGCCAGTACACATATTAAAAAACTATGTGAATTATTTTTAATGTGGCTTATGACCCACCACACTGATTTCACAACCTAGAAATAGGCACAGCTTGGATCACCCAGGTCCAGATGTCCTCTGAGGTCCCTGCGGTTCCACCTCTGCTTAATTAATGTCTCCAGTCCTGGGGCCCAACAGGAAGTGCACGGGCTCCCGGGAGCGGTGTCGTGGCCCCCTGAGTTCCTGCCACTATGCATTCTTCAGGTCTTCACTGGGCGCCCCGCACTCTCCCTGCTGCCCGGTCCTCCCGCACCGACCCCACCCGCACGCTCTCCTTTACACCCTGCGGGCGTTTTCTTTCGCAAGCACAGCTCCGACCACATCACTGCCTTGGTCCAAACCTTCCACACCTTCCGCGCCTGCCACGCCTTCCGGAATCAGTCCGAACCCCTCGGCCTAGCCTTCCGTCCAGGCCGACCCGCCTTGTCCTCTTGCAGCCCTCCCTCCGCTTCCCTCAGAGGCCAGCTCTCGGCCGCCTGTGCTGCCACCCCAGCCGGGCCCGGCAGCTTGCTGCCCTTCTCCCTCCTCACGCTCCGTCGCAGCCTGGGCCGTCCCCAGCGCGCAGGAAGCCCATCTAGGTTGTCCCTCGGCCGCGGAGCCCGGCGGAGCGGAAGTGCCTTGCCCCAGCGCTGGCGCTGGCTTTCTTGAGGAAGCTCTGCAGCGACACGGAGGGCTCTGAAGGCAGGGCTGACGCTCTGGCCCCTGGGACTGGGCGTGCCCCGGAGGGTCCCCAGGGTAGAAGTGTCAGGGAGGGGGCGGGGGGGGAGGGTAGGCGGGTGGCCCCTGGACACCCCCCCCCACATCCCGGTGCCCGGCCTTCTAACCAAGCCCTACTGCGCTGTGCTCCAGAAAACCAGGAGTATTTCGAGAAGCACCGCTGGCCGCCCGTCTGGTACCTGAAGGAGGAGGACCACTACCAGCGGGCACGGAAGGAGCGCCAGAAGGAGGACTACCTCCACCTGAAACGGCAGCCCAAGCGGCGGTGGCTGTTCTGGAACAGTCCCTCCTCGCCGTCCTCTTCTGCGGCCTCCTCGTCATCCCCCTCTTCGTCCTCGGCTGTGGTCTGAGATGCTGCCACCCTTTCTGGCCCTGCTGCCCTTCCCCCACTCCCCCCGCCCCTCTGCTCTTCTGCATCGCCCCCTCCACCTTCCAGGGACAAGAGGACCCACGAAACTAGGACCCTAAGGGCAGCGCTGTTCTCAGCAGCCAACGTAGCTGGGGGGGGGGGGGGGCTTGTGGGTCAGTACGGGGACCCCCTGCAGGGGACTGCGGTTCCAGAGCAGGGCAGGGAGGCGGACGGCTGCTGGGAGGTGGGGAGAGGGAAGGCACCCAGAGCTTTGGCATCTGACTCTGGGCTGGAGAACGCTGGCGTCCATGGGAGACTCTCCCAGCCGTGAGGCTGTGTGGCTCGGTCTGTGGAGGCAGCCCCCTCCCCGGGAGTGGCTGTGCTCGGGGAGGGTCCTGTCTCTCTTGGCCACGTTTTTCCATCCACGGACCTGAGGGTGGCAGATGTTCTGTGGGCAGTTTCCACACAGCGCCTACTCAACTCCTCACCGGAGAAGTCAGGGTAGAAATGAAGCCTTCAGACCCAGCTCGACGCTTCCAGATCCTGGGGTGCGGCTGCCGAGGCCACGGGTGGGAAGGCTTGCGCTCTGGCAAGCATCCCTCCCTCCCAGGGCGGTAGGTGGCCAGGCCTGATCGAGGATGGCAGAGCCTGGTCAGAGCTTTAGGCCTAGGAGCAGCGCCTCGTGGTGCCGTGAGAAACTTCTCCCTCCCTGTGCTTCACCACTCAGATCCAGAGATGGGAACCAAAGGAAACAGGTGGAACAGGGGAGAGGAGAAAGTGGGGGGGGGTGTCTGGGTGCAGCAACCCCATGCTCTCTGGGCTCCTCCCCCTGCCTCTGGTTAGCACGGCCTCTTAGCACCGTGGGGCAAAATTAGCAAACAAAACAAAACAAAACAAACAAACCCCCAAACAACAGCAAAAGCACCACCAACAAAAACATGTTGGCCTCTATCCCCTCAAAGAAAAGAAACAAGAACAGAAAAAGCCCCTGTGTCGCTTACGAAGTGGGGCCTCCGTGTTGATGAGACAAGAGCGTAGGCCGTGGAAGTGATTCCAGTGCCTGTGGGGAAAGGACTCGTCCCGCACTGCGGCTGGGGATGCCCAGGCCCTGCCGGCCGGCTCCGGGGACAGCACGAGTTCTGAGTTCGCGTGCTGGGATGGAGGCTTCGGGGGCAGGGGCAGGGCGGTCTCAGGGCTTGAACATGGTATTGGACCCCTGCCTTGGCCCATCATGAGAATCTGTTCTCCTCCTCTCAGGATGTGAATGTGTGTGTGGGGGGGGCGCGGTCAAAGGTCAGGGGAAAGGGCACCGACTTGGAGAATAGGAGTCCGGGTAATGAAGGATCACAGGACATGACCTCACTTAGTGCTGGTTGTGGGGTGGGGAGGGTGAGGAAGGGAAGGAGGCAAAGGGGAAATGTGAGCAGGGGCAAAGCAAAGTCAGTGCCGGGAAGAGGGAGACCAGACCGGAGGATTGTGGGGGCTAAGACAGCAGCTTGTAGCCCCATGGGGAAAAGCTGGGCCACATTTTACCTCTCCCGGTTTTGTGATTCTGACCCATATTTCAGCCCCCACACCGTATGTCGTCTCAAAAGCCAGAGTCCCACTGATGACGAGTGGAAGCCTGGGGTGGGCTCCACCAGCAAGACCCTGGCTTCAGGTCTGGGGTCAAGCAAACCCAGAAACAGGAAAAGTCTGGAACAATTCTGTGGTACTGAGACCTAGAGATCTGATGGTAAGTCATTGTCAAGAGAAGGAGTGGGAGGTGGCAGGCCAGGCGGGTCTAGGGTGGCACCCCCTGCTATCTAAGCCGCCTCCCCTTCTCTAGGGTGGCTGGCCGGCTGGCAGGCCAGACGTCTGCTCCTGCCTGCTCCGTTCTCATCCTTGGCATCAGGGCGAGGCTGAGGAGCCAGGGGGCAAGGGCAGGAGGCAGCTCGCAAGGAGAGTGCAGCTCTGCACCCAGCACCCTTCTCTGGGGAAGGGAACCAGAGGTGTGGCCATGGGGTCTCCTGGGAATTCCTGGTGAGAGGGAAAGCAGAAACCTAAAGTCCAGGGGGAGGGGGAATGGGGGGCTGAGCAGTATGGCCTGCCGATGAGGATGCGAAAGGCCAAGGGGGGGAGAGAGTGTCAGGGTGGCCCAGGGGGTGCAGGGAGCCCATGGGAGAGGAGCCACAGGACCATCCTGGCAACCTGGCAACCATCCTGGCTCACCCCTCAGGGACCCACTGTCCCTTCCTAGCCACACTCTGGGGGCCCAGCAGGCCCAGGTGCAAACCAGAGACACCACCTGGGGAGGCTGTGGGGGAGCCAGGCCAGGGCTGGTGACCTCCCAGGAGAGAAGGAGGGAGGAGGAGCAGAATTCCAGTCCCACAAGAACCTGGCATTTGGAAATGCAGGGAGACAGGAAGGACAAGTCACAGGAACACACCCCCCTGTACTCATGTCGCTCAAAGCTGCTTCAGAGGAGAGTGGGAGGGTGGGGGAGAAAACACACACACACCTCTTTTTATATAAGGTTTCATATTTAATTTGGTCATGAATTCATAATACATGAGTATTTTGTACCTAATCGCCTTCTTTGTGTTGTTTGATAATGTCCAACCACCTCTCCAGAGGAGGCACCTTCCACTGGAGAGAAGCATGAAAGGACACCAATCGCCCATGAAATGCTAAGTGCCTGTTGAGGGCCAAGTGCCATTTGGACTGGGTCAGCTCTGTGCTCTGATGCAGCTTACCTTAAATGAATAAGCATGACCAACTCTGATAAGGCACTCAAGTCCTCTGAGAAAGGGACTGCAGGTGCACTGAAGGCTGACTAGCAAAAATCCGTGGCTCCTTCTGAAGATACAAGCGCCCTGCATGGAACCCTGAGTCTTCCAGGAAAGGGAAGGGGTGGGGAACCTCTGGAAGGAAGTGGGAGAGGGAGGTAAACAGCAAGGCCATGAGGGGTGTGCCCCTACCGAACTCTGCTAGAACATCAATTCCCTGAATGTGCCTAAAGTGTTCAGGTGATTCCAGTTTGGGCCCAGCCCTACCAGTCTGGGCACACACAGACCTTTGAGGTGGGGAAGCCTGAGAACCCTGAGAATAAACTCTGTACCATTATCCTGCCAGGACTGGAACATGGGTGTGGTGGGAGGAGAGCTGAAGATGAAGATGGGGCCAAAGGTCCACACTCGTGACCTGCAATGCAATGGCACATGACATAGAACCTATCTGCCACCTCAGCTCTAACCCATCTCCCACCCCCACCCACGTCCATCGGTGAGAAAGAGGGCCACCCAAACAGAGGGATGCACAAGGATACCCCTTCTTCTCACTCTCCCTACTTGGAAACATCAGCCTATAAGTAATGTAAATAATCATACACCCACAAAATAAGGGGAAAGGGTGGGCACTTTAGAAGTTTCTGCCATCAGATCCTGGAAAGCTCAAGCCGCATTTGAGGGAGAACCGGAACCCACCCAGGCCATCCAGAGATGGGCTTTTTCGTCTTTCCCCTTTGTGTTTGTACTCATTCTATGGTTGCCTGCTCCCATTCAGGCAACCCGTGCAATCAGACTAGTAAGTGCATTTCAAAAGGTTCTACATGCTCACAGAAATCAAAAATACAAATCAGAATACAAAAATATAAAAATAGGAAGATGCACATCTTATAGCATTAATAGATATAAGTAAATGCAAGGATGCCAACATGGCTGCTCCTTACTATATAACAAATACAAGTAAAAAGTGCAATTCTCTTAGAATGAAGTCCCATGAATTGGAAAGAATGACACCCTACAACAACTCGCAGTACACATATGAACATACACAGGCACCTTAAACCTGATACTGCAGGTTTGCTTCCAGACCACCCCAATAAAGCAAATATCGCAATAAAGTGAGTCAAATGAGTCTTTTGGTTTCCCAGTGCATACAAAAGTCATATCTGCACCACGCTGTAGTCTATTAAATGTGCAATAGCATTATGTTTAATAACCATGTATTAAATTAAAAAATACTTTATTACTTTAAAAAATGCCAACCATCATCTGAGCTTTCAGCGAATTGTAATCTTCTTGCCGGTGGAGGCTCTTGCCTCGCTGTTGGTGGCTGCTGACTGATCAGGGTGGTGGTTGCTGAAGGTGGGAATGGCTGTGGCAACTTCTTAAAACAAGACAACAGTGACGTTGGCCGTGTTGATCGACTCTTCCGATTTCTCTGTATCACCGCGATGCTGTTCGATAGCATTTTACTCACAGTAGAACTTCTTGCAAAATTGGAGTCAGTCCTCTCCAACCTGCCGCTTCTCTATCAACTAAGTTTATGCAATGCTCTAAATCTGTTACCATCTCAACAATCTTCCCAGCGTCTTCCCCAGGAGTAGATTCCATCTCAAGCAACCCCTTTCTTTGCTCATCCATGAGCGGCAACTCATCTGTTAGTTTGATCACGAGATGGCGGCCATTCAGTCCCATCCTCAGGCTCCACTTCCTGTTCTAGTTCTCTCGCTCTCTCCCCCACACTTCCTCCTCTGAAGCCTTGAACCCGCCAGGGTCATCCATGAACGTTGTGATCGAATTCTTCCAAGCTCCTGTTCATGTTGATATTTTGACGTCTTCCCATGAATCACGTATGTTCTCCGTGGCACCTAGAATGGCGAATCTTTGCCAGAAGGTTTTTCAATTTGCTTTGCCCAAATCCATCGGAAGAATCGCTATCTATGGCAGCCACCACCTTACAAAATGTATTTCCTAAATAATAAGACTTGAGGGTCAAATGCCTCCTTGCTCGCCGGGCTGCAGCATGGCTGCCGTGTCAGCAGGAAACAACCATCGTCTCGTTCTACTTCTCCATCAGAGCTCGTGCGTGACCAGGTGCATGGTCAGTGAGCAGTCGTGGTTTGACAAGAATATTTTTTTTCGGAGTGCTAGGTCTCAACGGTGCACTCAAAATATTCAGGAAACCACGTTGTGCTCCGAAGTGCTGTCACCCAGGCTTTGTTGTTCGTTCACAGAGCACAGGCCGAGTGGCACGAACACAACTCTCCAGGGTCCTGGGATTTTCAGAATGGTCAATGAGCGCTGGCCTCGACTTCAAGTCACCAGCCGCCTCAGCCCCTGACAAGAGAGTCAGCCCACCCTTGGAAGCTTTGCAGCCGGGCACTGACGCCCCCCCGGCCGCTGAGGGTCCTAGCTGGCGTCTTCTGCCAATAGAGGCCGTTTCATCCGCATTGGAAACCTGTTGCTCCGCGTAGCCTCCTTCATCACTTATCCCGCTGGGTCTCCCGGAGAACTGGCTGCAGCGTCTACCCCAGCGCTGGCCGCCCCCCCTCGCACCCTGATGTTACAGGGGCGGCGTCTTCCCTTACACCTCACGGACCCGCCTCTGCCAGCTTCCGACGTTCCCCGGGCAGCTTCCTCACCGCTCTCAGCCTTCGCCCGACCGAAGCGAGTCAGCGCCTTGCTCAGGGTCAGGCTTTGGCTTAACGGACCGTCGTGGCTCGTTTGCTCTTCTAGGCCGACCCGTCAGACCTTCGGCGCGGCCGCAATAAGGCTGTTCTGCTTTCTTACCATTCGCGCGTTCACCGGAAGGCACTTTGAATCTCCTCCAACAACTTTTCCTTTGCGTTCTCGACCTGGCTGACTGTTGTGTGGCCTGCTTTTGGCCCATCTCAGCTTTCCTCACTGAGCTTTATCATTTCTAGCTTTTGATTTAAAGTGAGAGATGCGTGACTCTTCCTCACTTGAACACTTGGAGACCATTTTGGGGTTATTAATTGGCTAGTGGACCAGTCAGAAGATACACACCATTTATCAATTAAACTCACAATCTTGTATGGCGCAAAAAATTACAATAATAATATCGAACATCACTGATCACAGAACAACATAATGAACACGTTTGAAATATTGCAAGAATTACCAGAGTGTGCCACAGAGATACGAAGTCAGCAAATGCTGTTGGAAAAATGGCAACAACAGACTTGCTCAACTCAGGGTAGCCACAAACCTTCAATTTGTAAAAAATGCAATATCTTTGAAGTGCAATAAAGTGAAACAATAAAATGAGGTATTCCTGTAACTATAATCGACATAGAATCTTTCCACAATTTGCTTATCACACCCAGCATTTCCTAAAAAATATTCCAAGCACGTTGAAAAAGTTCTAGAACATTCCAAGAGCTGTATGTTTTTGAATTAGAATTCCTTCAAGTATTCGTCAAGTATCTGCCCTTTCTTCCAGGCTGGTGTCCACTCATGCTTCCCCTTAAAGAAGAAAAGTAAACAAGGGAAACTCAGATTCCTAAAGAGATTATTTCCATTCAGGATACAGGAGAGCCTGTCCCATCTTCTTAGATGCACTTTCCAGAGCCCACCAGGTTATCCTGAATTTTCTCCTTTGCATTTCTTTCCCGTCGCATTTCCAAGGCATCCAGTGGGGTGTTGACTGAGGCATCCCGTCCCGTCTTTTTGAGCCAAGACACCAGTATTTCATACAAGGCATCCTGCATGCCCAAAGCACAAGCTCTGGCCACAGGGATCTCACTGTCCGTGAGGCCCATCTGCCGCATAAGTAGGTTCCAGGAATTAAAGAACACAATGTTTGGAAAGTAATCAAAGAATGGCCTCAGCGTGGATTGGGGGGAAGCCACAGTGAGTTGGGAGCCACTTCAGAAAGGGCAGAAGGTGCTCAATCAGGCCTTGACCTAAGAGTGGAACCTGATGAGCTCCCTCTGCTGGTGAACCTGCTGTTCTGCATCCCTTATCTGTTTCCCATCCCCAGAAAGTCAGTTGGAACCGCCTGGGCCTCACTTGAGCCAGAAGCACTTAGGGAGTCAAGGTCAGCAGAAAATCCTGCCCTAAGGCAGGGCTGATAGCCCATCTGGGAGGATAGACTGGTTATGGGGAGAACACATTATGAGGTAGGAGACAGAGGGCGGGACAGACTGTGGGAACAACAGGTCCTCAAAGGAGGAAAGCTGCTCTAATCATGAGATGGATGTCCCAGAGCTGCCCGTACCTGCACCTGTGCACAGAGCGGGGGCATGGAGGTAGCAAGGTCTTGCTTTCCTCCCAGCTCAGTCTCACTCACCCACACTGTGGCAAAGCCAGA